CTATCTCAGCGTGCTCTGTTCCACCTCATTTATGCGTTACCTATCGCTCGCGCCACGTTGCGATTGGGCTCTACGGATGGCGGCCTGTTTCGCGTTGATCTGACCAAGCCAACCCGAACCCCCTAGCGCCATAGACACCAACGCACCAACGCGCCGAAAAGCTGTAACAGAGACACTCACCTCGCTCTTGTGAATCGACAGCGTCTGCTCCTTCAACACGAGCCACTTGGGGCGCCAGAGCCACGAGACGATGCCGTCCTCCTTGATGGCGACGACGCCGCTCCGGACGACGTGCGAGCTGCTGACCATGTCCGAGTTGCGATTCGGCGATCCGCCAATGCCCGTGTAGTCCGCGCGGTAGACGGAGCTCGAGGGCGAGGACGTGCCGACGGAGAAGGAGGAGCCGTAGCCGGAGTTGGCGAGCACGTTCTGCACGTTGTTTTGCCGCACCGGCGCGGCGGGCGCGGGGCGCGAGGGCGTAAGCGACGTCGCGGTGACCTGGTAGTGCGCCATGTTGAATTGGGTCTCTCACGGGGATCCTCTCAGGCAAAAGCAGAGGGGTGGGGGGACCAGGTGAGCGGAGAGAGAGACAGGGCGGGAATGGGTTAGAGAGCTGAGTCCGGACACCGATTAGGAAGAGGATAAGCCGGTGACACAGATGAACGATGGGCGGGTCGTAGGTTTCTTGTCAGCGTCGTAAGCGCGGAGTCGTGATCGTGAACGTCGTCGTCGTCGGCGAGAGCGACGTGAACGTCGTGCGCGATGTCGAGGGAGAGAGCTGAGGGCGCTGCTGGCTTTGTTTGAGGCCTTGAGAGGAGGCAAATGTTCCCATCTGCGCCGGAAGCGGCCATTGGCAGCGCAGGCCGTGCCCCGCAGACGCAGTTTCTGTGGACAAAGTGGTGGGCGCCTACACGGTGGAGCAAGTGGCGGAGAAACGTACCATGGAAAACGAGGTCGACAGGCAGGAGTTTGGTGTGCCATGGGCAGTCGCGCGCGGGCGTGCATCCTGGACGAGCGGGCGAGAGAGACGCGACTGGCGCTTGACAGGATGGCTCCACTCGGACACACGGGCGTCTAAACAGCTGCATTCGAAACGCGTACGCGGGCTCGGCTCTCTCTTTGCTTTCGACCGCGAGCTGCTCTCTCGGTGTCTGTCTACGTCGCTGGCTGTCTACCGAGTCTCCCTCTGCTGCCTGCTGCCTGCTGCCTGCTGCTGCTGCCTGCTGCTGCTGCATTCCGCTCATCCCGCCCTCGTCCCTCCCGGCTTCAAGGTGCGTCGAGTGTACCGCCACAGACCCGCTTGTATGCGCTGCGCCGTAGATCAGCGGCCGCGCTCGAATTCCGATGCTCACGGTCGACTTGGACACGCACAGTGTACGCGCGCCCTCCGCGACGGACACTCTCCCGTCTAGTGGCGCATACATACGGACCAACGCGCCCTGCTCGTCTTCAGTGACTCGCTCGGAGCCACAGCGGTAAGCTATATGTGAGTCGTTTGCCGTCCGCCGTGAGAATAAGCACATACCTAGACAGTCGCGAATGCGTGAGAAGCGTACCGGGTTTGCGGATGGCCCGAAAGTCGCGAGCAGCTCCAGCTAGGCGGCCAACGAGCACCCCGTCGACGTTCGAGGCGATTTGCGCGTTCCGTGCGTTCAGTGCAGCATCGTTGTGTGCGATGAGAAGGTGCAGGGGAAGCCTTGCACAGTGAGGTGGCGGCGTCGCGTCGGTCACTTTGGGTTGTGGTGAAGAGGGAGAAGGAACGGCTGCATGTACATCCTGTGCGGGCGACGGCGTCCCGGAAATGGGCGGTGAGGTAACGCAGGAGATACGCGCACGGGGCTGGTTGTGAACTTCCTGAGATCCCGCTCGCCAGGGTCTCGATTTGTCCGTTACGTTCACCCGTAGCCAGGGACACCTCGCGCCAGATGCTCCCTCATCATCGGCCAAAACTGTTAATCTCACTCATCCTCCCATAGGGAGTGCTGCATACCAGGATGGAGGTTCCGGGATTGGCAGCTCGTCCTGCTTTTCGGGCTCCCATCCTGTGATCCAGTGCTTCCTTAGCAGACTGTGGTTTACCATAGCGTAATATATCACTCGCGACTCCGCACTCCGGCGGCCGCGCGCCCAAGTCTGTACCCGATACAAGCTGCCAAAATATCTCAGCGCTGTGTCACACATTCGGGCGGAGTACAACTCACTCAGGGACGGCTCCGCGTGGCAAAACGCATCCGCGGGCTGGACGGGACGTGAGAGCGAACTGAGGCACGAGGCTCGCGCCAGGAGAGCGCCCGTGTAAGCGCGGCGGTAGTGCCCGATTTGGATTCGCACTCCCGCCTCCTAAACCGCCCAGGACGCTCGCAGGACCGTCTCTGCCCCCCCGAGTTTGAACACGTCGAAATGATTATCTGCACGCTACTAGAGTACTCTACGCACACCGGAGCCGATGATCCAGCACCGCACCGAGCTCGCCAGAGACCAGGACACAACCCCCTCAGCACACAGAGATCCGCGCCCTCGCCGCGACCGCCGCGACCTCCGCCATCTGCGCCAGCTCCGCCCTCCGCTCCGCCGCCGCCGTCACCCACTTCGCCGACTTGGGCCCGTTCCGGACGTGCCGCCCGGGCTTCCCGCTCGGGTTCGTCTTCGGCCGGGGCTTGCGTGCCTTCAGGTCGCTCCGCCCGAGCTTCGGCGGCGTGCGCACGTACCGCGGCGCGGGGGCCGCCCTGCGCGGGTCAAGCAGCGCCGCGGCGCGCTCCGCCGCCGACACGCGCTCGAAGCGCAGCGCGCCCGCGTGCCACAGCCCGAGCAGGTGCGCGATGCGCGCTCGGCCCGTGATCCCGCTCAGGTTCCCCCACACGATCTCCGCGGGCCAGCCGACGAGCTGGAGGCCGTGTGCGAGGTAGACGAACTTGAAGTACCGCTCGAACGTCCAGCGCATGCTCGCGTCGGCGTCCCCGGAGAGCGCGACTGCGGGCGCGGGTGTGCGGCCGTGTCAGGTAGGTCGTCGACCGTGTATGTTTGCGTCGTGCTCACCTAACACATCGTGGATCAGCGTCCGAAGCTCCCCGCGCATCTTGAGCTCCTCGCGAGCGTAGTCTTGTCGGAGAGTGCTCCCGAGGGTACGATAGCCGGCCATGGCGTCGATGGTGCCGTGTCGAGCAGTGTGGAGAGGTAGGTGTGCGCGTGGACGAAGGCCCTGCCTGGGGGAGCCAAGGGTCACAGGGTACAGGGAAGAACGCAAACAGCGGCTCGCGGAGGGCGTACCGTCGATATATGGTACCGCCGCTCTGCAGCGCGTGAAGCGGCGGGCGCTCGTGACCGATCCAGCCTTCTCTACTTTCGTGAACTGATCGCGTCGAGCCGTAAGGTCGAGCGCGTTCCTGGTGAGTTCTGAATGCTCGCTCCTCGCGCGGCGCTGACCTCATCAGTAGATTGCTCCCAGCGTACGAGTCGGGATCTTCTCCCGCCTCTCCGGCTGCCTCCAAGCGGTCACCCCGTTTCAAGTACGGTACTCCTGAACGGAAAATTGCGCGTGCGCACGGAGCCGTGGTCTGGTTCCGTGCTGCGCCCAGGTAATCAAATCGACGCCTCTCTGTCGGCGCTGAGTCGCGCACGGCGCACGGCGAGGAGACACATTTGTAGAGTCTATCTGCCATCGTTTGACACAACGCTCGCGCCGCGAACGTTCAGGTCAGCCGATTCACAAAGCTGCCATGGTCCGCGTTTCTCACAGACATTTGCATGGCAGGAACTCTGATTTTTCGGCCGATTATCCCGCTCGGTATCCCGCTCAGATCATGACCACGCGACGCCCGCGGCCATTCCTCATAGTTCGGCGAGTCAATGGACGACCTTGCGTTTGCATAGTACGCCCCACTGTAAGCCATGGGCCAGCGGCCGGGTTCCGTGCTGCGCCCAGGCGAAAGCAACGTGTCTCGCACCAGAACTTCCTTCGGGAGAGAACGTCTCACCGTTCACGGAGTTAGTTCCGCATGACGGCGTCTGCTGCGCGTGATGTGCCATCGCCGCCTCCCTTTTGGTCTTGAGCCGTCTGCGGCCTGCACGACTCCGACATTTTGCCAATGTACCGACCCGACGTTGTACGGCACGCTCGAGGCAACCCGCGCAAATTAACCGTTCAGGTGTGCCAAATTCATCTTCGATCTATCATGCTTCTCGCCGGCGACGTATACACATCAGAAACCCTCAAAACGACTATCCCGCGCAAGGGCCGATAGCTATCACATAGCGTGTGCGATCGCTAGCTATCACGTAGTGTGTGCGACCGCTGCAAGATTGTACTATGTAACCGGGGGTGCTGGCTCTTTGAATTCACTCGTGTCCCATTCCTTCGTCAGACGTCTGAGCATGCATGAGTAGCATCACATCCCTGCCCCGGAATCGACGGCGGTACCGCTTGCACCGTACCGCGGCGTCGCCGGGATTCGCTTCAGATCATTTCTGCGAGAGCCGGACATCCACCGCCGCTTGTTGCAACTGGCAGGGCTCAGAGAAAATGTACTGTGCCGGAATCGGCCGCCGTGTAGTAACCGGCATAGAGGTCTGCTTCATATCTTGGATGGATCACCTGGGACTTGTGGAATAACGTTGGCCGTCTGCGCGTGACAAGGCAGCCTCGCGCATACGATAGCTGTTCCTGCCGCCCGTTCACCTGCCAACATCCCGCTTGGGGCGATGCAAGCGTGCCGCGGCTCGCCTTGGCAACACCTAGCACACGCCACCGCAAAGTCCGTAGACGTGCACGCAAGACGGTACGCGAAATGCGAGCCCAGCTGCGACGCACCAACAGAGAGCTTCCGGGTTGCCCAGACAGCCTCCGCAATAGGGCGACATAGGCCTGCGAGTTCGCGTACATACTGCACCGTGCCTTGCCGTAATCTGCGTGATGTCCGCCCCCGTCGCAAAACGGCATTCAACGGTACCGAATTATTTGACTGTGCGATGCGCGACCCTGCACGCCAACGAACCAATATTCTGGCGGAACAATCAGAACACTGCAGATGTACTGTATGCCAGTGATCGCATCCTCACCAAAATTATCGCCGCCGCCGTCTGCTCCTATCGAACGTTCCGACGCCCGAGGTACATTCGAGTCGAAGGGGACGCCAGGGATTGTCGTTCGCGCGGACCTTGCGAAGTGCTTACTCGGCCGAGCTCGGGCACGCCCATCCGCACACAGATACGTCGCCGCGCAAGCCTTCAACCGCAGCGATGGTCGCACGTTTCTGGCCGCGGTGATGCGAGATCTTTGCGCGTAACACTGTGCTCTGTGCGGAGAAGTCAGTCAAAATCCTACCCTGGACGGACGGACAAGAATAGGATAACCACACACGCAGATAGGCGAGTTGCGACGTCGCTTGCAGAGGTACTACACCGCCCGCCCGAGACCTAAAGTAGCCGCCCAGGCGCGGACGGCTCGGCGCGTGAATCGCGTTGTGGACCCAGGCTCCGCCTCTCCGAAGCTCCGGAACACCGCGGCTGAGCTGGGCTCAGTGCGGTGTTCCGCTAGGCTCAGTGCGGATTGAGATTTGCACCAGAAATCCAGGGACATTGACCCTCGCTTGTGGCAGACGAGACTGCGCGTATGCACGTCGTCGGAAGAGCGAGCTGTCGCAGAAGGCCGCACAGGGAGTCAAGACTTGGATGCCGCCGCGCGGGTGGAAAATCTGTAGGAACCGTACCAGGGAGCGTATATTCGCAGAGACAATTGACGAGTCCCTGCACCCGGCTGAGATGCACATCGTGTGCCGCCTAGTGTCCCGGTACAGCAGCGAACGCGACAGTTATTCGGCGGGAGCTGTGGCGGCGCGCTGCCCATCTGCTGTGGAATGGTTTCAGCCATTTGTCAGGACACGAAGCCGGCAGATGTCGTACAGGAAACCTCACATGATGCGCGGCATTTCGTACCGCGTAGGCACGTCTCGACGGGGGCAGAGCGGAGCAATGTTGGCTTAGCGCGGCATGCCATGGATACAGAACCACTCGTGTGGTGCGCAGTGAAGTCCGGGCAGTGGTGCGGTAGGCGGCCGCGGCCGCAGCAGCGTCGCGGTCGGTTCGGAGGGCGGCGACACCGTGCTCGACTGCAGCTTACTTCCTAGCCGATTTCCGCCAGACCCGATGGCCAAGGACGGCCTAGAGCGCGATACATACGACCAGGACGAGGTGGCATGAGCGTGCAGGATGCAGCCGCTCTCATGGTCTGTTAGGTTTTATCAAGCCCATGCTCGAGAGAGCGACTCTCAGGGAGATGCTTACAGAACGGAACGAGCACTGTGTTCCAGAGCTCGAGCATCGAGGTACGGGCCGAGGTGCCTGCTGCTGTGCGGCGGACGCTGCTGCGCATGCATGAATCGTTACTAGTACATGTGGCTCGCAGAGCTGGCGTACTTACTGGAAGGTCTATACAATCCCACCAGAAACCGCGCCGCCTGTTCGAATTGGTAGGATAGATCTGTCGTGCGTGCAACCTACCCGGGTACCTCCATACGCAAGATGTACCCCGCACCGACCACTCCGAGTGCTCGAGGTGTTGGTTACAGCGAGTCGCGCTGAGACTGACGGCTGTAAACACGCGGATGTGCTTTCTGACGGTCAGGGAAAGCCTATATATCAAGGGCAGCTCGTGTGAGCAGCGCGAGCCATCAGCAATGAGAGTTGTACCTGTATGTTCCAAGCTTTCCGGATACCAGAGGGCGTGAGGTTGCGAGACCCGATCTCGAACAGATGCACCCCTGTACTCATATTTCAGTGTTCGCAGGCATGGTTCGAGTGTCCTGGTGCGATGGGCAATCTTACCTGTGCGACCCTCATGTCCGGAGTTGTGCGCTGTTTCGTACAAGGATAGCATGCCAGTGGGCCGTAAAGCGCAGGCTGCTTCTGCACCCCAGAATACCTCTTGCGCGCAGGAACGCGTGCGATAAGAGCTCTGTAAGAATCATGAGTATGCCATCAAGGAATGGTAAGCTACTCACCATGCGAAGCGGGAGTCAGGCGGTGGGCAGGATACTGAGCACTTCGAAGTGCGCTAGACGTCCCATTCCTTCTTATACGGGCACTCTGGGATGCGAATCGCGGCCTGTAACGATAGTCAGCAATCGAAACGCGGGTGCCGGTGATAGACTCGATATGCTCGCCTTCGACTTGGACTTTCAACGTCACAGCATACTGCCCACAAGAGAGCACTCGCGACGTTCGTAGACCGCCTGGTATGTCGGCGGGATGGCTCGAGTGCATGTCGCTGCGTTCGTGCGGCTCCTTCTGCATCGCACGCCTGGCTGGACTTCGACTGAACATCGAGTTCAAAGATTCGAAACACTTACTTTTCGCGATGGTGCGGCTTCGCCTGAATGCACAAACGCGGGATGTATTCCTTCGCTCGGCGCGAGCACTTGTGAAAAACGATAGGACGTCGCACACACTTCTGCCGTGCGTCGACGCGCAACATACGAACGAAACGCACGCACACCGCGGCGCAAAGTCTTCAGTGGAGCTGGGATGTGCATTTTCGTCTGGCCTCGTCGCGCATCTGCCGCCTGCATGCCCGCGATGTCGAACGACGTACGGTTATCGCGACCGGTGTCGATTGGTCTCCGTGCGCAAGAGCATGACGTCGCCGTCCTGAACAGAGCGCGTGAGATGTTTTGTATTCCAGTGGCGCGCGGCGTCTGAAGTCGACCCATACGCTGTGCACGTCGTGGATGGGGCAGACGTGCTGCCTCGTGCCACGACGTCCACGGCGATCGGGACGGCGTAGAGGCCCAGGGCACCGAGGGCGGCGTCCGAGGGCGGCCCTGTCGCATGCGGCCATGCTCTCGTCATCGCCCGTTGGGACCTGGCCCGGTCGACTGGTGCACACCCGTCGCCGTCGGACAGATGGGACCCTGGCGCTCGTTCCGTGTGAGCTGTGCAAACTTGGTACGATCCTACACGCCAATCGCAGATTCGCGTGCTCGTGCCCATGGGACCCACCGTGTTCCGTCACTTCTCATCTCGCCTCGCCCCGTCCCTGACGGTTTAGGGCAACACCGATGCAGGGTTGGCACTCACCCCGAACCCGGTGTAGTCAGACGGAACTGCCGTCGATCGCGCGGAGATACGACCGAGCCCCTTCTGGCGAAGTGCGGAATTGGTTGCGAGGGTCCAGAAGGCAGCCGCGCTGTTGACACGACGGCGTGCATCAGAGAGAACGATGGGGCGGAGCAGAGTTCCCGACCTACCCTGAAGACGAGAGGGAATAAATACAGACGTCGAACGAGCACAAACGGCACGAACTGCATCCCTTCACCTCCCGTCGAGATCCGCGCAGCCTCGCTCCCTTCGACGTCGCCCCTGCCTGCCACGCTCGGTACTAGTCCCCTGGCAGCGCGCCGTGGTAAGCCCGCGTTTCAGCGATGTCTCGATGTTGCTAACCTTGCGTCCTCGTATTCTAGCGCGTGGGAGGGCGGCCCGGGACGATGGGCGCGTCGAGGCGGGTGAGGCCTTCGATGGTCGCGGCGGAGTAGCTTCGTACGTTGTTGTACAAGTAGTTACGTTGCTGAGTGATCCGCCACGATTCGGGCGCGCGAAGCGCTGTCTCGCCTCCCCCAAATATGAGAATCCATATGATTCGTCTATTAGCTTGCCTGCCAGTGCGGGACGCGAGGGAGGATGGTCGACGAGCGTAAGGACGAGCCCGGAAGTACGGTACGCGGGACCTGGGCTACTCGACGATCGAGGCGGCGTTTGTGTAGTGCGTCGACAATCGCAGATGTAGATGCTGTGCCGCCCTCGAAATCAGCGGCGTTGCGTGCGTGCGGTCATCGCATAATTTGTGTAGGCTTGTGTGGGAGGACGTGCGAGGCATGGCGGTGGTGCTGCAATGAGACGCAGGGTGGCGGTGTGAGCGAAGCCCGAGCGTCTCGTTCTCGAGCGGAAACTCACCGCGTTGACGCCTGAAGCCAGAGGCCTGAGGGGCCGCGCGCGGGACGTACGCCGTCCGCTCGCGAAGTGCGCGAGGATCGCGAGAGCTGGATGAGGAAGGAGGAACAAGTGTGAGCAAAGCGGAGACAGAGCGCGAGCAGCGCGAGGGCGCCACGCTGATACAAGTGTTTCGACGACCGCGTATCCATTCGACAGCTTACATATCGTGACGCGCTGCAGCCGCGTACTACCGTATGCACGTACATGAGCCTGCCGCGTGCATGAGGCACGCAGAAATATGCATCTAGCTGTCGTAGTATACACTAAGCTTTTCCAACATAAAGCGAGAGAGGGAGACACGGGAAGAATGAGGAGGAACATAACAAGCACGAGAAGGGGACTAAGGCTAGCGGATGATGGGGTCGTCGCCGGGCGGAGGGGGATGCACTACTACTGCTACGCGGTGGATATACGGGGAGGATTGATTCATGATGGTGACGAAAGAAGAGAGCGAGTATCTGCGTCCCGGATGCCGTCGACGACGCCCACGTCCACACGGTATAGATAAGTAAAGACAGAACGACGCGGAGATGTGGGGGGATATGGGAGCTACCGCCTGCAAGAAGTCCCTGAGACGGACGCGAGTCGTCCGGAGAGTTCCGACCAAGGAAAGTCGCCCAAAATCACAAAAAGGCGGGGAGGGAACTCATGATGCCTGCTTATTCCTGAAGCGGAGCAGGGGCGCAAGCCCGGACATAGCACAAGCCTTCTTTAAGAAGTCATGCTGTGGAAGACGAGCGCGTCAACATTTGCCGTGACCTGAATAACGCATCGCAGGACTTACCTGCAGCAGCTCATCCGCAGTCGCACGGCTCTTCACGTCTACACACAAGCACACGCTCAGGAAACCCTTGAGTTCCTTCGACAGCGTCTCGGGCTTCTTCAGCGTCGGCGTGCCGTTGGTCGCGATCAGGTAGAGCGCCTTGAGCGGCTCCTCGTCGAGGTACGGCGGCTCATTCTCGATCATCTCGATCGCCATGATACCGAGTGACCAGATGTCGACCTTCGCGCCGTACTCCTTTTGCTTGACGACCTCGGGCGCCATCCAGTACGGGGTTCCCACCATCGTCGCGCGCTTCGACTTCTGGTCCGTGAGCTTCGCGCAGAAACCGAAATCGGCTATAGTACAGACGTCAGCACTTTCGGGTAATGACGAGGACGGAGAAGGTACGCACTAATCTTGACGTGGCCCTGAGCATCCAGCAGAACGTTATCCGACTTGATGTCACGGTGAATGATTGACTGGCTGTGCAGATGGCCAAGACCCTTGCACGTCTGCGCGCCGATGCGTCATAAGCACCTTCTGTGACAGTCGCATAAAGTACACTATCAAGCTCACCTCCAGGCAGATGCTCGAGATCTGGTCCTCCTCGAGCGTGTTGTTCTCAATGATGTCCGTGAGCGCACCTCCCTCCATGTACTCCATGACCACCCAAAGCTCGTTGTTGCGGATGAGGTACGCGTCGAGGAAGTTGACGATGTTCGGGTGCTGCGACTCCTTCATCACCAGGATCTCGTTCACGATGAGCTCCTTGCGCGGCTGGTTCGACAGGTCCATCTCCTTGATGGCGACCTTCTTGCCAGTCGCGTGGGTCTTCGCGACGTACACATGTCCGGACGCACTATCGCGAGACAGATTCACGTTAGCTCGACCTCCCTACGGTGCGTAAGAACAACACTCACCCCTGCCCGACCTTGCGG